ACCTGAGAAGAGGAAACAAGAGTGTGAATGTCGGAACTGATCACTTCAAGTGCTGAGGAGGATTCCCGCCATTCCCAGGTGAGAGGACCAATTGGTCAATAAAGATTTATGTTGAGAATGCAAACCCAGTCCAATTTGCTGACCTCAGCATCTGCGCTTGCCATCCATCATTTCCTGCCACCCATCATTTCCTGCCACCTCTGCCACCCATCATTCCCTGCCACCCATCATTCACTGCCATGGACGGCATGTTATGAACGGTCACAATTATGAATGAATACTTTGTATATAAATCGGTTTCCTCGTTAATCCCGTCTGTGCGCAAGCGCAGATGCTGAGGTTGGGAGATTCGACTGGGTCGGCTTTCTGGACAGAACACGGGCGCAGACCTCAAACGCTTTATAGACAGGTCACGTTGTGTAAGAGACACGATTTGTTTTTCTCTGGAGCTCATCATCTGTGAGACTGGTAATGAAGTGTGGCGCACACACCGGCGCACCGTGAAGAGGTGACACACTGACAGGAAGGAAGAGAGCGGCGTCTCGTCTGCCAATTACCGGTGACACGCGCAGTGTACCTGGCCAATCGTTACAGAGGAATTCCGCCGCTCCTGGAAGGAAGTGAACACTTCGGAAGACGTCGCACTCACAGCTGCCAGGCGGCTCGCCGATAATTAACGAGACATTGAAATGATACACTTCAAATATCACCGCCGGCGGATTCTCTTCTCCGAGAGCCTCCCTCTTATCACGTCCACTTCTCACTCCGACACTTCACACCTTATACATCTGCATCACAATAATCCTCCGACACCCCGCCATGGAGGTCCTTGTTCAGGCACTTCCTGTTACAGGGTGACAACGCTGTCCTTGTTCAGACACTTCCTGTTATAAGGTGACAATGCTCTGTCCTTGTTCAGGCACTTCCTGTTACAGGGTGACAACGCTGTCCTTGTTCAGGCACTTCCTGTTATAGGCTGACAACGCTCTGATCTTATTCAGCCACTTCTCGTTATATGGCGACAACGCTCAATTCTTGTTCAGGCACTTCCTGTTATAGGGTGACAACATTCATATTTGCAGACGGAAGACGTGTTTGATTTTAGTTTTCTTCATTTTGCTCCGAGGCGAGGTGGTCATGTGACCCGTCTCACCGGGGGGGGGGGGGGCCCGTCATCCCAATCCTTCATACAAAGAACTCCAGAAATCCGCTCAGATCTCTCTGAAGAAACATTTCCCATTGTACACAATGTGAGGGGAGGGGTGTCAGCGGCGCCCTCTGGTGGTTTACAGGCACTGCTACAACTGAACTTTTTATTACACTCATCTAGGACATTGACTTTATTTAGCTGCAATGTTCCCTTTAATATAAATCGGGGGGTGCAGGGGATACCATTCCTCATCTATAGAGGGGTGCAGGGGATACCATTCCTCATCTATAAAGGGGTGCAGGGGATACCATTCCTCGTCTATAGATGGGTGCAGGGGATACCATAGCTCATCTATAGAGGGGTGCAGGGGATACCATTCCTCATCTATAGAGGGGCGCAGGGGATACCATTCCTCATCTATAGAGGGGTGCAGGGGATACCATTCCTCATCTATAGAGGGGCGCAGGGGATACCATTCCTCATCTATAGAGGGGTGCAGGGGATACCATCCCATCTATAGAGGGGTGCAGGGGATACCATAGCTCTTCTATAGAGGGGTGCAGGGGATACCATTCCTCATCTATAGAGGGGCGCAGGGGATACCATCCTCATCTATAGAGGGGCGCAGGGGATACCATCCTCATCTATAGAGGGGCGCAGGGGATACCATCCTCATCTATAGAGGGGCGCAGGGGATACCATCCTCATCTATAGAGGGGCGCAGGGGATACCATCCTCATCTATAGAGGGGCGCAGGGGATACCATCCTCATCTATAGAGGGGCGCAGGGGATACCATCCTCATCTATAGAGGGGCGCAGGGGATACCATCCTCATCTATAGAGGGGCGCAGGGGATACCATCCTCATCTATAGAGGGGCGCAGGGGATACCATCCTCATCTATAGAGGGGCGCAGGGGATACCATCCTCATCTATAGAGGGGCGCAGGGGATACCATCCTCATCTATAGAGGGGCGCAGGGGATACCATCCTCATCTATAGAGGGGCGCAGGGGATACCATCCTCATCTATAGAGGGGCGCAGGGGATACCATCCTCATCTATAGAGGGGCGCAGGGGATACCATCCTCATCTATAGAGGGGCGCAGGGGATACCATCCTCATCTATAGAGGGGCGCAGGGGATACCATCCTCATCTATAGAGGGGCGCAGGGGATACCATCCTCATCTATAGAGGGGCGCAGGGGATACCATCCTCATCTATAGAGGGGCGCAGGGGATACCATCCTCATCTATAGAGGGGCGCAGGGGATACCATCCTCATCTATAGAGGGGCGCAGGGGATACCATCCTCATCTATAGAGGGGCGCAGGGGATACCATCCTCATCTATAGAGGGGCGCAGGGGATACCATCCTCATCTATAGAGGGGCGCAGGGGATACCATCCTCATCTATAGAGGGGCGCAGGGGATACCATCCTCATCTATAGAGGGGCGCAGGGGATACCATCCTCATCTATAGAGGGGCGCAGGGGATACCATCCTCATCTATAGAGGGGCGCAGGGGATACCATCCTCATCTATAGAGGGGCGCAGGGGATACCATCCTCATCTATAGAGGGGCGCAGGGGATACCATCCTCATCTATAGAGGGGCGCAGGGGATACCATCCTCATCTATAGAGGGGCGCAGGGGATACCATCCTCATCTATAGAGGGGCGCAGGGGATACCATCCTCATCTATAGAGGGGCGCAGGGGATACCATCCTCATCTATAGAGGGGCGCAGGGGATACCATCCTCATCTATAGAGGGGCGCAGGGGATACCATCCTCATCTATAGAGGGGCGCAGGGGATACCATCCTCATCTATAGAGGGGCGCAGGGGATACCATCCTCATCTATAGAGGGGCGCAGGGGATACCATCCTCATCTATAGAGGGGCGCAGGGGATACCATCCTCATCTATAGAGGGGCGCAGGGGATACCATCCTCATCTATAGAGGGGCGCAGGGGATACCATCCTCATCTATAGAGGGGCGCAGGGGATACCATCCTCATCTATAGAGGGGCGCAGGGGATACCATCCTCATCTATAGAGGGGCGCAGGGGATACCATCCTCATCTATAGAGGGGCGCAGGGGATACCATCCTCATCTATAGAGGGGCGCAGGGGATACCATCCTCATCTATAGAGGGGCGCAGGGGATACCATCCTCATCTATAGAGGGGCGCAGGGGATACCATCCTCATCTATAGAGGGGCGCAGGGGATACCATCCTCATCTATAGAGGGGCGCAGGGGATACCATCCTCATCTATAGAGGGGCGCAGGGGATACCATCCTCATCTATAGAGGGGCGCAGGGGATACCATCCTCATCTATAGAGGGGCGCAGGGGATACCATCCTCATCTATAGAGGGGCGCAGGGGATACCATCCTCATCTATAGAGGGGCGCAGGGGATACCATCCTCATCTATAGAGGGGCGCAGGGGATACCATCCTCATCTATAGAGGGGCGCAGGGGATACCATCCTCATCTATAGAGGGGCGCAGGGGATACCATCCTCATCTATAGAGGGGCGCAGGGGATACCATCCTCATCTATAGAGGGGCGCAGGGGATACCATCCTCATCTATAGAGGGGCGCAGGGGATACCATCCTCATCTATAGAGGGGCGCAGGGGATACCATCCTCATCTATAGAGGGGCGCAGGGGATACCATCCTCATCTATAGAGGGGCGCAGGGGATACCATCCTCATCTATAGAGGGGCGCAGGGGATACCATCCTCATCTATAGAGGGGCGCAGGGGATACCATCCTCATCTATAGAGGGGCGCAGGGGATACCATCCTCATCTATAGAGGGGCGCAGGGGATACCATCCTCATCTATAGAGGGGCGCAGGGGATACCATCCTCATCTATAGAGGGGCGCAGGGGATACCATCCTCATCTATAGAGGGGCGCAGGGGATACCATCCTCATCTATAGAGGGGCGCAGGGGATACCATCCTCATCTATAGAGGGGTGCAGGGGATACCATTCCTCATCTATAGAGGGGTGCAGGCGTTTTAGGTACGTTTTTTATGTATTGTGCATTTTTGTGTGTGCAGCAAAGGAAACTCTGGCGTCCGAGGGGTTAAAAGCACCAAAAACCCCGAAATGTTCCTTCCGATGACCCCAAACTATTCACCAAGACCGGGGATATTCGCTGAATCTGCCTGCGAATGAAGCATGGAAAGAGAGAGGGGGGGGGGGGGGGATCTCCTCTCCGCGGGGGTCATTGAAGCTTCTCTCCTCCTGATATTTAGGGGACGCCCCCCCA